CACACACCAGAGGCGGTCGCTATGGCTGCCAAGACCGGCGATCGCGACGTCAAAAAGGCCAAACACCAGGCTAAGCGGCCTAGGCCCGCCCCCCTCCAAACAGCCATGCCCTCTTTGTCCCAACTGTCCATGGTCGACCCATCGCTACCGCACAGTCCCGCCGGCTCCTTAATGGCTCCTGCCGTTCAGCCGGCCGACTCATTCATCGACTTCACGCACCACAACCACCACCGCCCAACCTACCCCGACCCCACTCCTTACTCCTACAACCCTAGCTCTTATGGCCTCGATGCACTGGCAATAGCTGCGAGCGGTGAGAAGCGCAAGTTTGAGTCACATTAATTGCTTCTTCTCTTCTACAAGGTTCATTCCATCATTACACTTTGATCACTTTTTGGGTCTGCCACGTCAGGCCGGCCGCATTCTTACAGCGAGGCGCATATGGCTACGACCACGATCCAAACGAGTTCAAAAGTCCCTACGAACACAAGACGCATGCCGTCATGGCGACGAACGGATCTCGGCGTTTTTGAGCGGTGCACCTTTGCGCATACATTTCCTTTTTCACCTGTGCATATAATAAGGCCGTATTGCACCGGCCTCCTAGGCTGCGAGCACCGGCCCTTTGTTTTTCGCGCTCCACTGTGGTTCCAGTGCCAGCATCGCCACCGTCGGTCAGTATATGTGGAGGATTTTACAGCCATAGGGACTTGGGCTTGAACTGGCAACATGGATACCCGCCCTTATACAAGGAGCAAACGTTTGATTTTCCTTAGCAACATTTCAGCGGTCAGGACATTGGGGATTTGGCTAGCCTATGGAACGGTTCCGCCATTCCTCACAAAAACAATGAAAACAAAATACATCAATGCTGGGCGCCCCTTATCGTGACCAAACAACCTTCACTGTCGCTGAAAATGCTTGCTCATCGGTGCGCCTATCTGTCCCCAACAGCATTTCTGCCCGCATGAAACTAGGTCAATCATGTCTTACAATCAGCCACCACAAGTCCCTTGTTCATGCAATGGTGACGACAACAAACGGCCCTGAACCGTGGATCTGTGCCCCGCTGTCAGCCCATAGTTCATGCCGAAAGCTGAAGGCTGACTATTGCCCGTCCCCAACCAAGGTACGCGCTTACACTTTAGCCACGCAAGGTTCGTGATCCATCACTTGGAAACGTCCTCCATCTCGGTACTTCGGTCTTGAGCAAGTCGCCACCACGCTCTGCTCTGCCGCCTCTACCCACCAGCGTCGTCCGAATCCCTCGTCCATGTCTTCACAGCCTATGAATCTGGAAAAGCGTTACGTGTGAGATACACTAGTCGTTGAGACTTGCTCTCAAGACATTGCAGACCCTGCAGGAACCTTTCACGGTTAGACTCAAACCTTAAATATCAGCACAGATTTCACTCAGCTCGCGCGCCCCAAAACGGGTAGGATCCGCTTCCGGTTCTCGTCATTGGCTCGCGAATCGACGGAAGAAACTCTATCAAAACAACATATCGCTGTGCGGAGACTTTGCTCCCCAAACACCATGCAGAGTCATTGCTTGGCTCATTGTACACTTGTTCGAATCGTCAGCAATCCGGTATTTCAGGCATGACTTTTGGAGTCTTGTTCCCGTTTTGGCAATACCCCGCATCCCTTTTGTCGTCGTAATTAAATCACCACTTTGTCATGGCTCGGCCCAATTTGCACTACTCAGCTTTCATCCACAGCTCCGTCTTACACGCATACTCCGCATGCGATCATCATTCACATCATATTGGTTTGACGGAGTTCCATGTTTTAGCTTGCGCAAGCGGCAGCATGCGGATGAGCGATCCACGTGTGTACCAAGGCGCATCCTCAACACCAAGCCTCTCGAACCAGGCTCCCAACGTCGATCACGATGTGGTTTGGGCCCAGGTAAATCACGACACAGCCTCTGGGACCGGAAGTTGTACTACTCCCAAAGCTCCGCTATTGTCTGTGCCTGCCGCGGCAGCGCGGGAACTTCTTCCACGATAAGGTTCTTGCCCTTACCTTCCAACACTACGGAAGTACGAGAACAACAAGGTTTGAATGTAAATACAAGATCGTCCATCCACCCGCAACTACATTGCCTCAACTGTGCATTGTCTAAACCACCACGGCAACCTCCGCAGGTGCAACCTCACTTGATCTTCCTTCTTATCTCGCAATGTTCCATCTAGCAGTTATCGATCCGTCTTGTATCATACGATTCCCACGTTCTCACTAACCACTGCAGTCTACAAGATCGCTACCATCTTTTCAACAGGCTATTCAATACACCCACATAGTACTCACGGCTTTTCACGGAGCACGATACGCCCCTGAACCAGCCCTGCGCCCATGTCTTGGTGAGTCCCCGCACAGCGTTGGGGTTGGTGCGAGGGGCTGGGCTAGGCGTGGACTGGGCTGCAGCGTGGTGGCCTGTCACGTCGTAAGACGTCGTTTATCTGCCTGTAGATCCCGAAATAAGTGAGACGGCATGGGCTGTAGGCGAACTGCGGGGAAGGCGTCGGGTCTTTGATGCTACGCAGGTGGTACAGCTTAAGCAGGTCGTTGTTCTACGGAGTGGTTGAGAACAACATGTGGATTAGTGTAGCCGGCTCCCCGGTTCGTGGTCAGTGAGGAGAATGTCGTTGGGATGGGCTTGCAGATTATGGGCAGAAGTTGCAAAACATTGGCTTCGCCCTGAAAACTTTGAGGTTTAGCCAAGCAAAGAACATCAGCAAAAGCGCCTATACTAACCTTTTTCTGGAAATTGGAAGAAGTGGTACGTTTGCCGCCGTCCTCGTCCTTACTGCTTACTCCCACACAAGGCATCCAGATTGGTGACACAAACCAGGTTACTTAGCTTCGATGGTTGCACAAGATACGCCATGTGCCCACATCGTACCAGAGTGCGGGTGTGGATAAAAGGTACTACGTTATGCTGTCTCACGACAACGAAAATGATTTGCTCAACATGATCCTTACAAACCACGCACTACGGTAGAGCAATAGGAAATGACAGAAAACTTACTTTTCGAACCGATAAACGAAGCTCATGGTAGTACTGTGCACGCAAAGCACGGCAGATGCATGCGGGGGACCTTTTGATCACGGTTTAACCTCAACCTTGAGCCGAGAGTATGCTGCTGATGCCGTACTACGCGTCAAATTGACGCGGGCCGCAGAATTGGCGAGCGAGCGAAAGTAGGCAACGACAGCCAAGATGGGGCAGCACATATACACGCACGCACGCACACACACACATACACGCGCACACACACATATACGCACACCCCTTTTTCCATTCCAGAAATGGGAACATGAGTATACACCGATATTTCGAGTAAACCAACAGTCCGTTCTAACTCCAGAGCAAGAGATCTCGATCGAACAAGATCTCGATCAACTCAAAACAAAAAAGCATCCTTAACATCAACACCAGCAGCACCAACAACAACACCAACACCATTCTTCACCGCATCTTCGTTCCCTCTGCACCCCCTGACTTCCCAAGTTCTACAAACTCCCCAAGTCTCCTCCCAAATTGTACCTCCTCTCCTTATGCAAAAAATATAGACCCCTACATCTCAACACATGACATCCCCCGAATCTCTAATCTCCGGTTCTAGACCAACCAAAAGACTGACCTGCGAACCCGTAACTAAACGATTCCAAGCCACAGCCTACATCTCTGACTGCCGTGTCCCCACATACACACATACTCGCCCCCCGAAAAAAAAAGCCGCTCTCCCGTCTACCTAATCTTCCACATGCACAGCACCACGCTGGTGGCGTTTTTTTGGTGTTTGTGGCGTTCTTGTTTGCTTTTTATTAAACGGGCGAGAGAGGCAGACACACTCTACCGGGTTAGTCGTTCGTTCAGATCTAAATGGCGGCTGTGGTACTGTGGCTGATACGTGGGTTTATGCGTGGTGTGGAGAGGGTGGGAGAAGCAAGCTACGTGGATGTGAGGTTCGTAGCTTGTAGAGTTTGTATCTATAATATCGCTTGATATATCTTTGTGGTGTGAGGGCTGTGGGCTTGGGGATAGAATTGGGTGAGATGTCGTTGGGACATGCGTGTTCAATAAAGCGAAAGCACCCAAACAAGGGAATTGGGTATGATAATTGGCCATTGCCGACAGACAGCTCCAAAGGTGCTTGCTCGTGAAGATCCATGGTTACTAGTGTTGAGATACTCATCACATGGGCGAAAAATAAAGTTTCGCTCAAAACGTCGTAGAACTTTGAACCCCCAAAAGATACTTGTAGTTCCCTTTGAAAGAAAAATTTACCAGGTCAAATAAACCGTGGAGCTGAAAAGTTGACAGGTGTAACTAGCTAGTATACGCCCCTTGCTGACCGGTTATCGTCTCATGCGACACTTTCTCCTTTGCCCTGCATCACATGCTGTGAAACCTTCGCTTCCGATTCGCACAATACCCTTTTTGAACATCAGCGCGTATATTTTGCCGTTGTGACCAAGACAATTAGACAATGCAGGGGCATAATGGGGCCATGCTTGATAGCTGAGCTAGGCCAGCTGAACACAAGACGGAATCCTGCCGTCTGACCTGGACGAAAAGCTGATTCAAAGGGGTGGAGTGCGCACATTGCGCAACAAATGTCGACGCGAGATGATGGCACAGCGTCTCGCTGCGGCCCGTCGTTCTGCACGTCGCCCGTAACTTCCTCAACACATGTGTCTTGGTCGCCTTGCATGTAAACAGGTGCATCGCTCTAGACATGGGGAGGCGAGATTGTACTTCGCATTGTGTGAGTCGGTTATCCACATCAAATGGCCTTTCATGTGAATTTTGCCATGTTGACATATCGCGCAAAGCTGTGGTCTTCGCCTTGGTCAAGACCACGCTCCTGGACGGCTTGCCGGTAGCGCTCCTTGATGCCAGTCTCTGGGTTATCCGGGTCCATTTCGTCCTCGTAATCCATATCTTCGTCCATCATACCAGCTTCATCAGAGTTTTCCGCGTCACTAACCGTCTCTGGCTCTTCCTTTCGGGGCTTTGGTTTTGGCTTTGTTCCTGCACCACCCACCTTCATATCTCTCATCATCTTGTCCAATTCTCGCTGACGCGTCTCCTTCTTCTCTTGCTCCCTCTCTGCCTTGCGTCTCTCAAGCTCTGGTTTATAGTCTCGCTCAAATTCCTCCTTCTTTTCTTGCACGCCCTTGAAGAACTCGTCCATGCCATCACCCGTCATCGCACTAACACCCACCACGCTGAGATGCTTGTAGAACTCCTCGAGCACAAGTGACATGCTGTTCAGTAGACTGCCCATGTATCCACTTCCTCCAACCGAATCTTCCCCGCCGTTTTCTTCCTCGTTTCGTAGGGCGGATTGGAATGCCTCGAAGTCGGTCATCCAGTCTTTTGCAAACTGGGCGTCTTGCGCGTCTGTTTTGTTGAAAACAAGAATCATGGGCAATTTTGTCTTGTAGAGGATCGAGCAAGCGTAGAGCATGTTTGACATGAATGTGCTGGTGCTAGTAGTGCGTGGTGTGTCGATGATGTACGCGATGACCGTGGGGAATGTACTGGCTAAGCTAGAAAGCAGAATCTCCCCACTTGCTGACCAGACAAAGACCTCAATCTGACCCGGGGTATCCACCAATATGTGTTTGACCTGCGGTTGTTGCGCCGGCGCTGCCTGCTTCTCCTTCCCACCGCTCGTCATGAACTCGACTGTCGACTGTTCCTGCTCCGGTTTGGGAGCGGGCGGCTGTGTTCGCTTCTCCAGTAAGCCGATGACCTGATCGATCTTTGTACTGAATAGGTTCAAGCTAGTCAGGATGCCGCCGTTCGGCCCTAAGTTGAACTGCTTCATAACCTCCTTGTAGTTAACGCTATCGCGGATATCGATGTTGGGTGTGAAGGGAACATGGTGGACGGCAGGATCGAGGTTGATGATGTACGGCGGTGATGGAGACGTCTTTGACACGGACGGTTCGCTCTGAGTGGGGTTTGGGTGCGTATAGAGATGCGAGACGAGGCGCTGCATGAATGTTGTCTTTCCACTACCAGCCATGCCCACACATACTATTGAAACGGGGAGATTTGAGCTTGTAGTGGGGGCAGAGCCCTCGGGAGCCATTGCCGTGGACATGACGGAGGTCGTGCGCGAGTTTGGGGGGAAATAGCGAGGAGACGCTGGCGCTTTATAGATAGCAACCGAGTTGGAGGAAATTTGGAGGCTCGAGATGCCTATGATATAGAGGTAAAGAGCGCAAAGGTAGTCTGTAGTGAGCGTCGAGTAAAGGCGTGTTCAATGTTGTGAGGAATGAACTCCAAACGTCCCAGAAATTCTTAGGCGGGGCTGACGCGCTAGCGGTCGGCCGCGGTGATGTCAGGCCCAAGCGCCGACGACATGTCCAAACTTTGACTGCGCGCTCTTTAGCTGCCTGAAACACCGTCAACACTGATTGACGTATCCTCAACACGAAAATGGGTCTGGAAGACTTTGAAAAAGAACTTGCGCAGAGCAAAAAGAAAGAAGACAAGAAGAAGCGCGATCGAAGTAGAAGTCGCGACAGACATAGTCGCAAGCACCGTTCCTCGCGCCATCACGACGACGACGAGCGAGACGAGCGCCACCGTCACAAGCGATCGCGACACCATCGAGAGACATCAGAGGAGCGCGCGCGAAGAAAGAGGAAAGAAAGGGAGGACAAGGATGATCGTTCACGCCGGAAGCACAAGGAGCCGGCCTCTAGCGACGATGAGGACCGATTGACGCGAAAACGCAAGTCGCGACACTACGACGAGGACGAGTCTTCTGGCGACGAAATACCAAAAGAGAAGGACTACGCGCCACCAGACGATGACATACTGGACCAACAACTCGAGGAGGCAGCCGACGCTGACCTGCAACGCGACGATTGGATGAAGGCGCCCTCGTCCATGGACATCGACTATGTGCAGCGGAAGAAGCGAGAGGAGAAGACTACATATGTCAGGGAATCGACCCAGCCTCAATCAGCACTCAAGATCCACAAAGCCGAGCTGAATCATCATTTGGCCGACTCGAAGAACGAACAAGAGACTGTGGCAGACGAGCCGACGCAGAGAGAAGTGAACTATACCTTCGGCGACACCGGAGCACAATGGCGAATGACCAAACTCAGGGGCATATACCGGAACGCCGAGGAGTCTGGAAAAAGCGTCGAGGAGATAGCCATGGAAAAATACGGTGACCTCCGCGACTTTGACGAAGCACGCGAAGAAGAGATTGAGCTTGATCGCAGAAAGATGTACGGAAAAGACTACGTGGGCAAAGAGAAGCCATCGGGCGAGCTGTATGAGGAGCGTAGACTCGCTGCAGACATCCACCGCCCATCTCGCACGTCACACGAGCCCGACGAGCTACCCCAAGGCGAGGTCGTCTCAGATCCCCAGCCCGTCACAAACACCGGCATGCTCAGCCAGACCGAACTCAACAGGCTGAAAGCCCAGATGATGAAGGCCAAGATGAAGAAAGCTCCCAACGCTGCTCAGCTGGAAGCCGAATACAACGCCGCCCTAGCCAACTCATCTAGCTCGAAAGACCGCGACGTCGTCATCCTAAACGCTATGGATAACCGTATGCTAGCTGGCGGCCGCCAAGGTGAAGTCACCGCCCTCACAAACAAGCGCGGCACAGAGCGCGGCCTCGTCAAAGAAAACGACGACATGTCCATCGACGACATGGTCCGTCAGGAACGTCGCACCAAAGGCCAAGCTGGCGGCGAAGGCGCCCTGCTCGCCTCCAAAATCGCAAAAGACGCCAAATTCGACAACTCGCTCGACTACATCGACGATAACGCCTCCAAACTCGCCGCCCGCGCCCCCAAATCATCAATCAACCTCCGCAACGCCGCAATCCAAGACTACACCAAAATGAACCGCATCCTCGATTCCTGTCCCCTGTGCCACCATGAAGACAAATCCCCCCCGCAGCCCCCTGTTGCTCCCATCGTTTCCCTCGCAACACGCATCTTCCTCACACTCCCCACTGAACCTGAAATCAGCACTGGCGGCGCCGTCATAGTGCCCATCCAACACCGGACCAATCTCGTCGAATGCGACGACGACGAGTGGGAGGAAATCCGCAACTTCATGAAGTCCCTCACTCGCATGTACCACGACCAGGGCCGCGACGTCGTTTTCTACGAAAATGCGGCGTTTCCCGGACGCAAGGGACATGCAGCTATGAACGTGGTGCCTATCCCGTTTGAACTGGGTGATACTGCCCCCGCGTTCTTCAAGGAAGCTATTCTCGAATCCGCAGGCGATTGGACGCAGCATAAACCTATTATTGATACTGCAAAGGCGTCGAGGAATGGGCTGGGTAAACAGGCATTCCGCCGTAGTTTGGCAAAGGAGATGCCGTATTTTCATGTGTGGTTTGAGCTGGATGGTGGGTTGGGGCATGTGGTTGAGGATGGGCGCGCATGGCCGAGGGGCGATTTGTTCGCCAGGGAGGTTCTGGGTGGTATGTTGGATGTGGGTGTTGAGGTTGTGAAGAGACAGGGACGATGGAATAAAGGAGATCGGAGAGTTGAAGGATGGAGAAAGGGATGGAGAAAGTTTGATTGGACGAGGGTGCTGACTGAAGGACAATAGGCGGATATAGTCTTTGAAATGACGCTGGAGCCCATTGTATTACAGGCGATTAGTGGCAATTGCGTCCAAGGAGTGTTGTTTCGTCTATTACTGTATGTGGAAAATGTCCATGGAGAATCATTGCTCTGCTTCCTTACTGAAAACTTGCCAAACATGACTTCACCTACTGCCACGACCATTACAAATCCTTTTTGTGTCAAATCTATCCACACGTAGTTGATACCCAGCTTTCTTCGACTCAACGTATTAAATAGCACTTCCTCAACGCGCAACACATCCCCGTATCTCTTCCTTGCCACCACCAACACCACCATCGTCGTACGGATCAGCTGTCAACCAGACACTGTTTCCACGCCGATGTCTTTGTACTGGTGCCCACCACTCATCGCCAGGCGCTTGTCAAGGACGCTAACACAAAAGCAAACGGCGACACTTTTCCTAAACAAAAGCCCAGGGTATCAGAAGGAAGGCAAGCTTAGGCAAAATCGGCCGAGTAGGAGAAACCGCGGAATTCTTCTTGCATCGCTTGTGAAAGGACTGAAGTATCGTTAGCAAGGTTCTCTTTGTGTTTGCGGAAGCTCGAATCAACATACCAGATTGCACAGGAGTAAGCACGGGCGTGACGCTCGTAAACTCAGTATCAAAGTTGCTAGTATCCGTTGGGCTGGTAATCTGGGGAGTGAATGGCGGCTGTACTCTCTTATGGTAGATGTCATCCCAATTGATGTTTCTGAAGAAAGCATGCGACATGATTTCTTGGGCGTCAGTAGGTCCAGAGCCAAGTCGCATTTCCGGCTCACGGGTGAGAAGCTTCTGGAGGATGGAAACGGAGTCGCGAGGCATGTGAATGGGGTAGAGAGGTTCGTCGGCAAGAATAGCGTCGTAGATTTCGTCTTCGTCTTCACCGCGAAAGGGTGATTGTTGAAGGAGCATCTGGTAGATGAGGACTCCAAATGCCCACCAGTCGACGGCACGACCGTACTTCTTGTCCAGAAGGATCTGAATGCATTTGTAAGTATAGTGCTAGTATCATGCTTGAGTGAATACATACCTCTGGTGCCATGAACTCGGGGGTACCACAGAATGTGCTGGTCGTTGACCCATACCACATCTCTTCTTTGCACAACCCGTAGTCAGCAATTTTGATATGCCCATCTAGAGTGAGCAGAATGTTATCCAGTTTCAGATCTCGGTAGATGACACCGTTCTCATGGAAGTACTTCAAAGCGAGGCAGACCTCGGCAGCATAAAACCTGTGCAATAGTTAGCAATCGTACCTTGATAGGACTATAGGACGAAAAGACGTACTGTGCTCGTTTCGTGCCGAACTGGCCCCTCTGAATGTGCAACATAAGATCACCACCACTAATGTACTCCATGACGAAGTACACTCGAGTTTCGGTTTGGAAACACGCATGTAGGTTCAGCAAGAAAGGATGTCTCTCCTTATTGGCGATCAAGAACACTCTCTTCTCCGAACGCGTGCTCTCGACTTCGTCGTTCTCAATGATGAACTCTTTCTTCAGTACTTTGATAGCATAGAGCTGCTTGGTACTCTTCGTCTCAGCCAACATTACTTTTCCAAAGTTACCCTTACCCAAGACCGCAAGGAAGTTGAAATGATCTAAGCCTATCCTCTTTCCAGTGCCTTGTGTATTTGCTGGGGGCGTGATCTTCTTGCCAGGCGCTTCTATCACTGCAGATGGAGGTGGCTTTGCAGGAGACTGAGGTTCCTGTACCTTTGGTTGTGGGGGTAGCGCCTGCTGCTGAGATTGAGGTTGTGCCTGTGGTGGTGGTTGTGGAAGAGGGTAGGACGATTTCTGGGGGTATGACGGCATTGGTGCCGGTTGTTGATGGCTCGGTGGATAGCTTGGTATGTTTGCATAGACTGATGGGTCGTAGGCAGCTGGTTGGGGAGCTTGCTGCTGTGGTATGCGTTGTTCCGCTGCATATCCACTACCTGATGACCTTGCGCTTTGTGGTTGGTAGTCTGTATTGCTGCGACCATATCCAGGCTGAGTGGTTTTATTCATAGCGGCCGCCGCCGCGGCCACCGAAGATTGAGTACGCGGGCCTGAAGAGGGCCTTGACCCTGAGGTTGGCGATGTAGGGGTGGCAGTAGACCCTGATGTCGAGTAAGAGGCACGAGCAGCATCAATGGATGTAGCCGAGGTCGGGTAGGATGGCTGCCTTGGGGGGCCAGGCGGGGGACTCATTTGCTCTTTGCCATACGAGTACCTGTCAGGCTGTGCTTGTTGTTCCTGGCCGGGTTGACCTGGTGATTGAGGTTGCGCCAATGGTAAAGGTTTTGTCGGTGGTGCTGGTCGCAGAGTACGTGTAGCCATGCTGGGACCTGATGACGACTGTCCCCTCCTCGTCCTCTTGATCTCCATCAAAATTTGATTAGCAACTTCCATCGACATACCGCAGAAGTCAGGTACAAAGTGTACACAGTGAGCGTGGCAAGTAAGGCCACATTCTGGAAAAGAATCAGCGAAGTTTGCCAATCAAATTACATAGCCACTTACCGTTACACTTCTTCGTCTGCTTGCGTCCAAGAGGGAGAACATAACCACAATGACAGCACCAGTTGGCGCCCATATTGGAAAAGTTTTCAAAGCGATGAGGAATGCGGTGATTAAGCTTGGCCTCATCTGGATCGGTCTCGGCGTTGGACTGAGTAATACACTTGGTAACGACCTTCGTGTAGCACTTCTTGTGACATGTGTAGTTGCAGTCCGAACATTGCATGCCGGCAGCATACTTGAGAAACTCGCCGCAGAGAGCGCAGCGCATGACGTTGTAAAACTGTTGCTGCACGAACTTGTGTCCGTACTGCTCGACGACATCCTCCTTTCGTTGACGGACAGCACCTTTGCGGCCGAGACCAAGATCGAAGGGCTGCTTGTTGCCCGTGTTCTTGGCAAAAGACATGGTAAGGTGGATGCGTCCTACTGGCTCCAATGAGAACCAATCGTCGATCATAATAGGACCTGTTTGGGGTTGTGCAGCACCCGGCGGTCGGGCCGCACCAGGAGCTGCACCTCCAGCGCCAGCACCTGCACCTGCGCCTGCAAAGTTTTGCCCTGGCGGTGGCTGGAATTGCATGTCGGGCTGGACACCCGTAGATCCTCCCATCTTGTCAGCAGCCACCCAGCCAGAGTTGGCGAGCTCAGTCTCAATCTTCTTCCTGCGCATCTCCTCGGCGATATCTGATATGCGGACCCAAAGCATACCAATGGGGAGAAGGTGGTCACCAGCCTTGTCGTATACCGTGATCTCGATTTCGTTTGCCTTGTCGATGCTGAACTCATGAACTTCGTCTGTCCAGCGATCGTTCCTGGAGGGCTTCGTACGGCCCTTGATTGCATCTTCAACCTTGATGTTGACAAACGTCTCTGGACCTCGACTGAAGCGCCCTGTGGCCGCATGGTCCACATCGGCAACGGCATGTACGCGCAGGGATAAGTGACCGCTTAGGGGTTTCCTTTGGCTCGGGATGTTCAAGCTGTCATCTAGAATCGTAGTCAGTGTCTGAAAAGGTCTTTTTTTCATTTGATGCCTACCATCACCACCAGCGTCACCGTCAATGTCCACATGAAGGTCCTCGTAACGCTTGAGGGAGTGCTTCAAGAGTTGTATCTTCTGGTTACTCTCGATGCGCTTGGCCTCGGCATCTTGCTTGCTCTTGCGGTCGCCCTCCATTTGGTATAGTCTCACCATCTTCTCAATTCCATCCTTGTACTGTTTTTCAACACTGAGCTTGAATTCAAGCTGGGTCAGCATGAGCTGAATTCGGGGGCCGAGATGCGGGGTGTCATATTTGATAAGGTCTGCACCAGTCAGCCAAGTACGTATTCGCGCTATGTAGTAGAAGTGTACCCAATTTGCTGTAGTTTGGCCGCTTATTAGCTGTGCCGGGTGCAGGCGGTGCATACGGCGCGCGCGGTGGCTGTAGAGCATCTCCGCCGCTGAGTTGGCTGTATTGGCTCTGAGGACCGCCATATCCGCCCTGGTCCTGCTGCGTGAAGCCATTCCATCCATCTTTGGGAGGTGGGGTCAGTGGGTTGGTCGGACTGAGGGCCGGCTGCAGAGTCATATTTTCCATGCCTGACGACGTTCTCTGCACATCCAGGTCTCTTAGCTTAGACTCGAAGTAGTCAATGTTTCTGCGGCCGTCTTTGATCTGCCCGTCGAGCCGTGAGAGGACTGCCGGGTTGTTGGTAGACTGGCGCATAGCATTTGCGGCGTTGATCAGGGCCTTCTCGCGGTCGATCTTGCGCTGCACATTGGCAACGGTCTCTTCGACGTTCGCCATTGCGACGGACGTCTATGGGGACTCGGCGAAGAAGGCGTGGGGACGATTCTTCGCCGATGGAGGTGACGGCGTGATTTACGTGCCTGGCGTTCGCAGGGCTTGAAGGGTGCGTCGACGCTCAGGAAGGCGCCGGACTTGCGGGCTGCTTCTGCGCGCAAGAAAAAGCCGCTCTGACGCGTCGTCGGCGTGCGATGGGGCGCGTATGCAGTGAAGACCTGTGACAAGGGCAGAGGCGTATTGTGGTGATGTCGTCGGGCGAACAGCGATTTAGCTCACGCATAAGGCGGCTTAGCGGTGCCCCACTTTCCCCCTCTTCGTGGAGTGGCGTCGGAAGAGGTTAGAGTGCCGCTGTCTTTGACAAGCCGCAGAGGTGCTTGGGTTTGGCTTCGTTGGGCCGAAGTCTGAGACAAGAGAAGTTATGACGACGCGACTGTCTGGGTGCTGGTCGATTATTAGTGGGGGACAGACGACAACGGGCGGCATGGCGGGGTGAACACACAACATTCGGCTCACTGTCTCACACCTATGGCGCATACATGCTATAGCTGCGCCGGCGCACATATCAAGCCATAGACATGTAGTATATCGCGCTCAAATCGCCCGATTGTTACTGCTGTTTCTAATCGGACTGTTATCTTTGTTGACAGCAGGACCGCATAATTTTGGCCTGATTGGGCATCGATCATGGACCACCATGTGCAACATGATCTGATTACGCGCGCCTTGTTTTCACTTGCACTTTCTTGCATCACGCTTTGTACCACCATATGAAACCGCAATCACACTATCCGTACACTCTTGCATGTTGAGCATTGATGTCGACGGCCTTTTGTTTTCTCCATGGAATGCACTCATGTATGGCATCAGAAAGCTCGCGCCAAGGAGCACGCACACGCGTCTTCTTACCTGAAATAGTAGCATCATAGGAGCCTGTCTTCTGCCTATCCTTGCTCTTTCGATTCGAGCTGCGACTTACTCGGAAACTCTATCAATCTTACTCTTCGTGTTGTTGTCGGATAAATGTCGTCCAAGCCTGCAGAACAAGGTATGTGGCTAGTGTGTTGTGGCGGTGCAATGGCAGTCATATCCAATCGGGGCGCATCTCGTCCGTATCCTGACTTCTTGTCAGCCACAGGCTTGGGGACCACCGGATATTTACCAGTTCCAGTCAAGATTGTCACATTACTTGATCTCATTCATGAGCCCTTACTACCTATCGTTCCAGAGCTTGGAGTAACAGTCATGTATAAGTCCGGATGCGCAGAGTTTTAGTTTGGGAGTCCCGCTATCCACATAAGGTTACACCTGGGCAGCCCGCAATATTATAGGTCTCTGGTCCACGCAGAAATACACGGATATTACTGGACAGATGTTGATCGTTGGGGCTGCAACCGTAGAACGTAAGATAGCGTACCGGCTTAACGTCAAGCTAAACCTCGGGTCGCGCTAGATCACATGACAAGCTGCTGCCTGAAGCAAAAGCTGTGGTACTTGAACAATCACTCGTATTTCCAACTCCTACAGCCCTCACCAACTCTCATCTCCTTCCAAAGATATCAGGGTAACCGGAAATTGCACGGATCCCTTCAGCCACGATGCTACCAGCCGATCGTCCCGACCCCTAGTTACACAGCCCAGGCACAGTGCCCGCTTTTCACACTTTCTCAAGAACTTCGCGACGAAATCTATGCGTACTATGTACTAGAAAAATATGGCTACCATTACAACATTGACGCAGGAAAGTTGTCGTTAGCGAACCGGCAGCCCATCGATCTGCGTCTAATGCATACTTGCAGAGCAATCGCGAGGGAGATGACAGGCGTTGGGCTGCGCACAAACACAGTGACTTTCAAAACAGGCGATTTCACAGATCAGCCGGGCATCTACGGGCTTCAATCAAGAGCTGGACGATTCAAGATGTTTATGGATCAGCTTATGCTCACTAGACGGCGAATGCTAACATACGTATTGGACTGTGTAACACCCCCCATGCTCCAGGAAACGGCCGCAAAATTGGGAGATGGTCGTCTTCATCTTGTGATACTTTGCCGTAGAGCACAAAGCAAACAGGCTCACTTACGTCTCAATACCGGTCAGGGGGCTAATTGACGCTTGGCATCAGAATCACGATATTGATGAGTCTACACAGTATCATGATGCGTTGCGATACATCTTAGAGCTTGCATCAGCCGATGTGCGATTTGAACAGCTTGCCTTGGGATGAGCTCCTTGTACCTGTCGCCTATCAGATAGCGCTACACTGGGCGCATGCACCATGGGAAGTTGTCTCAGTCGCCCAGCTTTCTTTGTTCGAAACTGCGTTTGGTCAAACCCAAGGGGACAGCAATACTATCGAAAACTATGAGTACTTCGCTGAGTATCTATGGT